TGTTGCAGCCGCCATGGTTGGTGCTCGAAACCAAGAGAGGAACGAGAGAGAGAGATTAAAGACGAAAGGTATTTGTGAACCTGTTGAGTCGTTTAAAAAATGAGACTCTCGTTGCAAGGGTTTTGTTGCGTAATTACGAAAATGACCTCGAAATTTGATTTTTTGGGTCTTTATTTATAGAAATTAACTCACGCGAGAGATGTACTATCTCTATCATGTGGTTGAGATAAATGTAGAATTTTGTGGATGACGAATTTATCACTAGTTATTATTTATTTATTTTTGTTAAAGAGACTACTGATTGTGAGATCGTGCAAGTAGGTCGAGGAAGTGGACAACAATATAATAAGTTTTGATTGATGTCTTGGGTTTTATTTCGGATTTTCCTTTTAAAAACTTAATTAGACAAATATAAATTGCATTACATTAATTCAAATTTATAAAGTCTTTAAGGAGAATAACAAGAGAGAGAGAGAGACCAAAAGAAAAGAGAAAATTTGGTGGCAAGGAAGAAAATTTGGCCTACAAAAACATAAGAAAACAGAGACGTTACAAAACAGTTATTGCAAGTCTCTTTCCTTCTTCTTCTCCTATTCCTCGGCACATTGCCTGTCTAAAATTCACAGATAAGCTTTTACAAATGAAACAAGCCACAAATTTAAAAGAAAACAAATATGACTAAGCTCAGCGAAGTAACGGTCATGACCCTCATTATTAACAACATAATCAACGCAAGATGTAACACAATGACAGCACAGAGAAAGGATTCAGAACAAACAAAACTCATGATACAAGTAGACATAAGCGTGGCAATAGCAGAAAGAATGGAGACAACCAAATTCTAATCTTTCGAGGCAAGAACCAGCAGAATCAAATTCATTCTAACATTCCTAAGCCAAGAATGTAGTCTAGTCAAGGATCTTGAAATAAGCAAAGAACATTACCATTGAATCAGTACATCAAATTCAAGAAACATAACCAACAATTTGTCTATTGACTATTTGCTATCTCGCAGATTTCAGAAATAAATAAGGTGTAAGAAGATAGGAGTAAAACCTCGTAAAGGTATCCTAAGAAGTTCCAACGATGATGTTGTTGATTGGGATAAAGACGAGCTTCACGAAGAAACCAACAAATCCCATCACCACAAATCCAATCGCAGTACGCACAGCAACCTTTGTGAATTCTGAAGAAAATTAATCAATTCAATTACAAAACTTTAGCAATCCAAAATCTTCAGATCCGATCTAACAAATTCGCAATCGATTTCCCCAAATCCGTAAAGAGAACATTTTTAAAATTTGGCGTACCTTTGCGATCGGGTTTGTGACAACGCTGGACGAGACGGACACTGCTCTTGGCAAAATCTCTGAGTGGATCGATTGCGGAATCAATTGCTTCCATGGCTTCTTTTAGATCGGATTTGGTATTGGAATTAGGGTTTCAGGAGACTCGTCGTTTTAGGGGTAAAAGTTTTTCTTTTACAGTTTTTATACTTGTTTTGTTCCGTTGACTTTTGGACTCGTCCATAATTCCAATTTCAGATTTGATTCGGTCTGAACACAAACTAAGTCTGGTTGTTTATTACTGGTTTTTAACCCGACCATATGCGGACTATGACAAAACTTTTTATACGGATAATTTTCTGGGGAATTAACCTAAACTCCCTTAAAAACAAGAAAAATAATTAGGTAGAAAACCATGACCAAAAGAAAAATTAGATAACTAATTTTGTTGACAAAAAGGAAGGTAAAATGAGTTGACTTAAATGTTGATAAGACGAAATTGTCCTCGTGTGTGGGCACGGTTCAACAACCCAGAAAAAAAAAAATAAAGACGCCGAGTAAAAAATCTCTTCCTGTCTTATTATTCCCGACAGCTTTAATCTTTGTTGTAGTTTATGTCGTTAGTAGTTTCCATATTTGTCTTTCAAAGTACATTGAAACATTTATCTTCCAATCATAAGTTGTAGTCATGCATCTTATTTTCTCTATTTCATACTACGCGACAGCTCTGTTTTTTGTTTTTTTGATGTTTTTTTCCTTTAAATCCGTAAAAAAAGTCCACTTACATAAGAAAGTGTGATACTTTTTTGTAAATCTGGATATTTAAACAGTCTTCTTAGATATACAACAGCTGGCTAACAAGGTAAAAAAAATCTCTCTGTCCTATTATTTCTGACAGTTTTAATCTTTGTTATAGTTTATATCGTTATTAGTTTTCATATTTGTCTTTCGAAGTACATTGATATATTTATCTTCCAATCATATGTTGTGGTCCTGCATCTTATTTTTCTGTTTAATACTATGCGACAGCTTAG